GGGTGGAGTTCAACTCCCAGAATCCCCCAGCCAGCATGCTTTAAGAGGGGTGGAGTTCAACTCCCAGAATCCCCCAGCCAGCATGCTTTAAGAGGGGTGGAGTTCAACTCCCAGAATCCCCCAGCCAGCATGCTTTAAGAGGGGTGGAGTTCAACTCCCAGAATCCCCCAGCCAGCATGCTTTAAGATGTGCTCTATTTTTTTTAAAGAAAGAAAAGAGAATATATTATGCTTCCTTCCCCCCCACCACCCCCCAAAAAAACCCATAGAAAAATAATGTCTCTACAACAAGCAATGCTTCTCAATCTTGGTTTTGGGGCCTATAATTCCCAGCCTGCCCTAGCTGAAATCCTAGAATAGTCCAGTTAAACTCCCAGAATGCCTTGGCCGGCATGAAATTAAGGTCTATAAATATTTTAAAGCTCCCAAGTGTGGAAAAAAAAACATTGGTTTAATTCAATCGTCCATCGCTGGCCTAGGGGAATTCTGGGAGATGACGTCCACCCACCTTAAAGAAGAGATTGGAGGGGGAAAAAAACTCATTTAAATCATTTTCTGCTTTTAAATGTGTTATTCCCCACCTCCAAATGCAACAAGGCTTTGAGGAAAAAACAGCCTCAGTTTTCGGTATTTTGCTCCTCTTGAAGAGGTAATAAATGAAAATTAAATTCTGCTATGACAGCAGGAAAAGTGACTCAAGTTGACCCTGTTCTCAATCTTCTATCTGTTCTTCCTGTTTTGTTTTGTTTTAATCTGAACAGGGGAACATGTGGAGAGGCAGATAAAGTGGTGACCCAAACACAGGGCTAGAAAAACACTGATATGAATTTCCTTTCAAAAGTACCAAAAAAAGAAAGATCATTTTTGGGGGTGGGGAAAAAAAATTTCAATGTGACAGAAATCCAGTTTCTCTCGTGAGTTCCCCCAAAAAAAGAAAATCTCCATTTTCAAAAAAAAAAAAACAATCCCAAACTGATAATAGGTAAGCCTTTGTTTGTTAAATGTATATATTGATAATTTAATTTATATGCACCAATCTCATTAGCCGATAGATAGACAGAAAGACAGATAGATAATTATAGATAATGATAGGAGATAGAGAGAGAGAATAGATGATAGAGACAGATAAATAGATAATGTGTGTGTGTGTGAGAGAGAGAGATAGTGAGAGAGTAGGTGATAGACATATAAATATCGGTTGATAAATAAATAGATTAGATAGATAGATAGATAGATAGATAGATAGATAGATAGATAGATAGATTAGATAAATAAATAGATAATGGTAGAGAAAAGAGAGAAAAAATAGATAGATGATAGATAGCTATGCAAGAGTGAGAGAGATCAAGATCCTGCCTTTATTCTTTTTGCAAATAATGCAGGGTGACACACACACACAGGGTCGCCGTGTGTGTGTGTGTGTGTGTGTGCATTAAAAAAAAGAGTCAGTTTTCCATCCTTCTCCCTATAGCCTCTTCATCTTTTGATTGATCCTCTGTTGAAGAGGCTACAGGTGGAAAGATAAAAACGGATTGTGTTTTTTTTCCACACATATTCACACGGACACAACACAACACAACACACAAACAGAATCCACAACCCGTGAGATGTTTGTCTTGGTCCAAAACTGCCATGAAAGTCCAAACAAGAAGAGTGGGTTTCTCTTCGCGACAGCTTCTATTTCTAATTTTTATTTATTTACATTTTTTAACAAGTTTGCTTGGCGTGGCTGCTATGGGACATCTGGAGAATTAATGTCTCTGGTTTTATTTATTTTTTCCTAGGGAAATTATTATTTTTTCAAAGGCTTCCCTTTGCTTCTACAAATGTGGCTCAGAAAGATGTAAAAACACAAAAAAGAATGTTTAAAATAACAACCCCAAGCAGCGAACCCCTTCCGTTTCTAACCATTTCCTTTTTGATTTTCTTAATAGCTCTGGTCAAATTCTTTGAAACCCGCCTAAAGCCAGGTATCTTTTGATCCATCCATCAAGCACAGGATGTACAATTCGGGGTAAAGCGAGAATTTTTTTAAAAAAAACTAGGCAAAAAAATTATGAATAAAATCAGGGTACAAATAAATAGAATAGAGCTGGATAAATAAATAGAACAGAATAGAGCTGGCAGCGACTGTGTTAAAACGGAGAAAAGATTTATTTATTTATTGCATATATATTTATTCAACCAATGTATACAGTCCAGGATGCTTACAAGATCAAAAATCACAACGGGGATGTGGGGGGGGGGGGATATATAAATTCTACCAAGCCTCTAACGCAGCCAAGAAAGGTAAACTCCCCATTTGCAATTGGCGGAAGAAAGCTGCGTTAGTTTACAGGTAGTCCTTGACTTATGGCCATTTGTTTAGCGACTAGTCACTGGGAAAAGTGACTTGGGACAGGTGTTCACACTTGCAATACTTACAATACTCAGTGATCCCATTTAACTGGGAAACTGGCCTGTATTGATGACCATTGCAGCGTCTCTCGTGGCCTTAACAAATGTCACAAACAACAGGAAGGAAGGAAGGGAAGAGGGAAAGAGGGGGAAAAGGAAGGAGTGAAGGAGAGGAAAGAGGGAAGGAGAAGAAGGAAGGAAGGAGGAGAAAGGAAGGAGAAGAGCAGAAGAGGAAGGAAAGAAGCAAGGAGAGGAAAGTAGGAAAGAGGGAAGGAGAGTTAGGGAGGGAAGAGGGAGGAAAGGAGAGGAAAGAAGGGGAGTTAGGGAGGGAAGAGGGAAGGAAGGAGAGGAAAGAAGGACAGGAGGAAGGCAAGAGGGAAAAGGAAGGAGAGGAAGGAAGCAGGGGGAAGAGGGAAGGAGGGAAAGGGAGGAAAGAAGGAAGGGAGAAGAGGAAAAGAGGAAAGAAGGACAGGAGGAAGGCAAGAGCGAAAAGGAAGGAAGCAGAGGGAAGAGGGAAGGAGGGAAAAGGAGGAAAGAAGGGAGGGAGAAGAGGGAAAGAGGAAAGAAGGAAGGAAAGAAATAGGGAAGGAGAAGAAAGAAGGGAGGAAAGAAGGAAGGAAAGGGAAGGAGAGGAAAGAAGGAAGAAAGGAAGGAAAGAGGAAAAAAGGAAAGAAAGAAAAATGATAGAGAAGATAGAAGAGAGAAAGGAAGATAGATAAATGACAATGATAGAGGAAAGGGAGAGAGAGAGAGAGATAGAGAGAGAGAGATGATAGATGAGATTCGCTTAACAACTACCTGATTTGCTTAACAGCAGTGATTAACTTAACTTCCCTGGCCGAAAGCTCATAAAATCAAACACTTTTAACAATTCCCTTGCTTGGAAATTGCAATGGAAGCCATGGAAATTCTAGCCTTGCGTTGTGGTCGTAAATCGAGAACTAGCAAAAATACCCCCCCCAACACCTGCCCCCCCAAAACAGGAGGATTTTGGTAGCTCCACTAGAATTCCCAGGCACCCACATTCGTTTGTGTGCCTTTTGCGTTGCCAAAAATTAAAACTCTGGAGGAAGTTTGAGATGTCAGAGTCCCTTCTGATTTTTGGCTTCTCTCCCGACACCAAACTTGGCCCAGATCGGAAGCCGGGGAAGCCTATCCAGATGTTGTTTGGAGACAGATGTTCATTCGTTGGAAGGGGTCTCCCTGGGAGGCAGCCCTTCGGGGGGTGCTTTCGAAGCTTCTAGTGTGCTGTATGGTTCCATCTCCTGAACGTCCAGACCCTGGAAGGAGGGGGAAAGCCCTGGCTTAAGAAGCTAGAATAACTTTATTCTCACTTTGAATGTACCCGAATCGGCATACGGGGAAATGAAATTGCGTTGCCTAACAGCTCTCAAAGGGTCTCCAATATATACTACATACACTATCTATCTATTTATCTATCATTATCTCTACTTTCCTGCTCTATTTATATCTATATCTATCTCTTCTTTCCTGCTCTATCTATCTTTCTTTTTTCTATCTCTTCTTTCCTGCTCTATCTATTTATCTATCTATCATATCCCTTCTTTCCTCCTCTATTTATATCTATATTTATTTCTTCTTTCCTTTTCTATCTTTCTATCTATTTCTTCTTTCCTGCTCTATCTATTTATCTATCATATCCTTCTTCCCTCCTCTATTTATATCTATATCTATCTCTTCTTTCCTGCTCTCTTTCTATCTTTCTATCTCTTCGTTCCTGCTCTATCATATCTCTCTCTCTCTCTCTCCCTTCCTGTTCTGTCTATCTACCTACCTAGTTATATATATCTTTTTTCCTGCTCTATTTATATCTATCATCTATCTATCTATCTATCTATCTATCTATCTATCTATCTATCTATCTATCTATCTATCTCACTATATCTATCTAAACAAGGCCGGACACGAG